GCGCCGCGGCAAACTGTTTTTTATTTTTGTGTACATGACAAATGCGCATGCTCCGTTGGGTGCGCATGCGCATCCACAGAGACTTGGACAAAAAAACAACACCTTATTTGCAAGGGGACATGGGCGGGTGCCGGATGCCACCGGAAACGCGATCAGACGCCCGCCCTTGCCCCGCAGTTTCCGGAAACTAGTACCTCCAAGGTACTAGTTTTTTGCCACGCAGTTTCGGCTGGAAGCCTCGGTTGAGCCACGGGAGTGCTACGCTTCCCAGATGTGCTGGTGAGATCGCGCCCGGAAACTCCGTTTGTTTTCCGTCTCACTTGTGTGGCTTCTGTTACGTGTGACCGCAGCCATACTGTGGGTTTAAAGCAAACCAGTGTGTAGTCTTCCCTATGACTAGAATGTGCAGGGTACATGAACAAGGAAGGGAAACAAAATTTCCTTCTGTAATGGTACAGATCAGTAGTTTTTGCCTTAATATGTGGCAGCAAAAGCAATCCCAATATCTCCTCCCATTGAATTATATCAGTGAGCAGGTCTATCTGATTCTATTTAATCCTCTTCATGTGGAAAAACAAGACAAAACTACATTTCTTTTATGCTACAATCCTTCATTTTTTTAAAAAAAACCCTTATATTTATTAAAAAACGCTGCTTTGATTGGTAGCACTCATGACATTTCCACATCCATAAACCCCTCAGAAGCCCCCTCCCTCCCTGCACATAAGGCCACCAGAGCTGACAGCCAGCTAGGTTTGATCACAGCCATTCTGAATCAGATTTTCATAAGACAGATGAGGAGCCTAGCTGCTGCTTTCTTTCTCACTCCTATCAGATGAGAAACTGATGGGGAGGGGGGTGGGACAGGTCCTGAGGGAACAACACTACAATCAAGGGCTATGCGGTTCCCTTGCTGTCCCTCTACAGCTGCAATTTTCAAAAGAGCTTGCCTTGGGCACTTTCAAATGATGGCGTCTCAATTCTGTAATCATATTTCAAGAGCTTTTTCTTAAAGGGCCTTTTAGGTAAACCTAGTCTGTCAACTACACTTATGGACTGAACAACACAGCCCAAGTATGACTGTATTTAGTTAGTTTCACAGGATTCTGACAAGAAGAAGTTGTATGCCAAGACCCACTAAGCTTATTTCTAAACACATGAACTTATTGTCCTGTCTGTTTGCCATGATTCAGTGGTAGAGCATTTGCTCTGCATGCAGGTCTCATGGTCCAGTCCCTCATATCTCCAGTTAAAAGGTTCAAACAGCAGGTGATGTGAAAGTGCTCTACTTGAGGCTCTAGAGAGCTGCTGTTAGTCAAAGCAGACAATGCTGACCTTGATAGAGCAATGGTCTTATTCATGTGCTCCTAACGATGTGCTTTACATGACTCTGAGTCTTCTAAGCTCCTGTGCAAAGTCCCCAGGTCAAGAGGGAAGCCAAAAGCTCTCTTGTAATACCTTAATGTCTTGCCTCAGAAGTGTCATCATCCTTTGGCTATGCTACAAAACCATCACACTGTCCTGATGTGCAGCCGTTGCTAAACAAGACCCCACACAGATGAAATCAACAGGCCTGGTGACAATCCAAAGTCGTGCATACATCCAAGTACAAAATCAAAATAGGACTGAAAGGTACAATCAAACATTAATTGACCTGCCTATTCACCTTGTTCCTCACATGTCTCCCACCTTTGTTCTAACAATGGTCTTTTGACCCAAATGCTTCCTATTTTCCCCAGCTTTACACAACAGAATCCTAGACCTGCCATAGCCTTGTTGCTTAGCCATTGTGCCTTCACAGTACTCAGCCACTGTGGTCTGTAGAAGAAAAACACAGTTGGTTATGACTTGAAGGTATCCTATCTGCTTTGACCTTCCATTTGTAAGAGTAGACAAAGAAACCACAATACTTGAGTTTTTTAAAGGACAAAATTAATCTGAACCATAAGAAAGACCCAAACCCTTATGTGCTTATTATTAATAAAATACCTGGTATCAGGACAGGCTGTAGCTATATGCAGTCAGGAACACAACTGAGGTGGGAAGGCAAAACCTGCCCTCGACACTGGAAAACTTTGTGTCAGGAACGGGAGTGGGTTAAGTTTTGCCTTCACTTACGACTTTCCTCCCACTGCAGCTCATTTATGGGAGATGCCAGACTTGCCCATACTCCTGCTGCTGGAGATTCTGAAGCCCCAATTTATAACATCTCTTCCCCCCAACCAACCCTTTAAGCTATTTCAAGTGCTCAATTCCTCAAAAAGCATACAGATGTAAAGAGTGGGGCATTCATGAAAAGGAAAGTGCAGGGTATTGCTGGGAATCAAATGAGAGTGCCTGCTAGAAAGAATCACAGTCTGCTACGGTCCGCACACCCAAGAACTGTAAGAATTTGTCTCTTATCTATAGCTTGGAAACCAAAAAGGGACACAGAAACAAAATTCTGTTTTTGACCTACAAAAAAGGGTCGAAGACCATCCTTTTCAAAATGTTTGTGGCATAATTTCCCTTAAGTAGCTCTAGAGAGGCTTAGAAGAAGCACCTGGCTGTGTGGAAAGGATGCTCAACAGATAGCACTTTTCTATTTCCCCTGACAGCCTGGCATCTCCCATCTCATCCAGCTCCATTACTGTGCTGAGTTCAGCCACTACTGCCCATTTCCCCTGTTGACATGGATAGAAAATTGAGCAATTACCCTTAAATGCCTCTGTCTCAGATCCCCCAGATTGCTACAAACATAATATTAAGCCCTCAATTGCCCCTGGCCAAAAGTGGTTTAACCAGGCCTGTCCTTTAGGAATTAAACAATTTTTGTTGCTTGCAAGAGTTTATTATTCCTAAGGTTGTCACTATATTAAATCCTATTAAAGCAGGTTTCCCATGGTGCAGTAAGTCACAGACCTTCTCTTTGAGTCTCAGAACGAAAGGGCTTGGATGGAAACATGACAAAAGAAGTGGAGGAGCACTGCTGCTTGACTCAGCACGTATTCCTTGTGACATAAAGAGACACATATGCATGTGTGCATACAGAAGCAATGTACTGACATGACTGGTTGCCAATAAACAATAGTTTCATGGGTACAGACTGCCACAGCAAATCTGATACCCACGGCAGAATTTGGATTTTTGAGAAGCTGAGATTTTTAGAAAGGCATGTAAGTCCTCTTGACATTGGAAATACTTTAAAAATGCAGAGGCTGTGCCTACAAAAGGCACCACTGATCAGTGGGAGAGAATTGGGTGCCCTGTGCACTTATTTGTTCCTTTGCTATGTCCTCTAATCACAATACTTCGTAACTATTTTTCAATTGTAGCTGTCCTTCCACTATTGTCTTGTTCATCACTAAGTTCTGCGGAAATGGAAATATTCAGAATGAACCATGCAAACGGAGCGTGTTTATTTTGCATAAATAAACTTGCACCATTTTAAGTGCTGTAGAATTTGAGTTTTTCTCAGCACTACTCTATAGATTTCTTGGCACAGTGCACTACTTATACTACTGTTAATTTTTAGAGACATTTCTGCAACACTAATAGCATGCTATGTTCCAAGTGGGATGAACAGGATAAAAGCATATCATGCATGCCATCAAGGGGGGCAGGTATATGTGTGGGGGATCTTGACTGAGAAGTGGTATAGAAATTGCTTAAATAACTAGTGCCCCACTGCATAAACAGCAGTTTCACTTGCTGATGATGTGAACTAGCCCTTTGTCTCCCTTGAATGCTACCCCAGGGCTGGATCTGAATGCAAGAAACGTGCAGGCTCATCTAGATCAGCGTTCTTCAACTGTTCTAGGCCCAGAACTCACCTTTACCCCTAGGTAGCATAGGATCCACTGAGTTGCAAGTATGTGGTAGGAAGTCACAGGGTCTCCGAACTTGCTTATGCTAAAAATGAAACCTCTCTACTGCTGAGAGACCTCATCTCACTGCCCTGGTGCTCCTCTCAGCTTGCATACAAAGAGAGGCAAGGCACACTAGAAGTAGGTCCTCACAAAAGGCAACAAGAAATGACAGCCAGCTCTATAAGGGCTCACAACCTTGCTGGTAGGACTCCACTACCCACCTGAGGGTTCTAACGTCTGGGATGAAGACTGAACTGGATCAGCCCCTCATTCCATGCCATATGTAGTATTTCTTTATCCTTGCAGGCAAGTTTGGTCAGTCTTTTTTACCTAGATTACAGTGATGGTTTTGTGCCCCTTAATCTAGAAAGTTAGTTTTTCCAGGAGACAAAATCCAAATCATTTCAAGTTTGATGTAGCACCTACTTGGAAGGAGGCAAATGATCTTGCCCGTCAGCTTTCCTGTTGGCTTAGTTAATGTTTCTCTAGGCAAGTGCCTTGAATATCTGCCATTTGTTTCTCTTGGTGAATAAAACTGTTCCTATGTGCTGGAGGCTCATAGCAGTGGTGAAACCAGGCATAGCAAAAGTCCAGCCAGAAAAGTGGAAAACCACAGCTGGCAGCAGAAGACAGACAGACAGCCAACAGACCACCCAGTGTTGCATGTGCCCATCCCCTGCACGTAGGCATGTTGTCAAACAGGGCAGGTTGGATTTTCCAAAGATCATTTTCTACGGTTTCTCTGTTATCGTTTTGGGGAAGACTGAGACACTAATGAACCAAGAAGCACTGGGGTTGTGGAAAAGGAGACACATGTCAGGGGAGACAAAAGCATCCACTAGGAGACATGGAAATGGGTAGTATTATAGTTAAATTGGAAAGTCAAAAAACATTCCACATGTTATGGTTATGGCCACTTATTGCCTTCAAAGCCATGGCAGGTAATTTTCGGGCATCTCCTTCCATATGCTACTGGTCACCACATTACATCTTCTCCAGTTTTGTAGGAGAAGCATTTTGCTTCATACAAGCATAATGAATTCATCGGTTGCCTCCCCACTGGAAATTTCCACTTATCTTATCTCTGCTAGAGAGCCCTCACAAGTGTGAACGTAACATGCTTTCATTTAAGTCAAAAGGGAAGGGTCTTACCTTCTCCATCATCAGAAGCCTCCAGGCTCTGCTGCCTCAGGCGGTGACTGGAAGAAACCACACAGGGAAAACAGCTTTAGAGGTCAGACTGCAATACAGCTAATTCTGAGATCCTGTTGATTACAACCTCCTCTAAGGAACAACAGAAGGAGGGCTGCTCCTTCCTGTACCAGCTATACAGCCTGTGAAATACTGGAGGAGAGGATGTACTTCCTCTGTATCTCTTCCCAAATATGTCACTGCTACAGAACTGTAGACACAATTCTCCTTGCTATGTAGGGCTGTCACACTTCCAAGTGAACTTCAAAGAAATTAAAAGAAAAACCAGTGATTAACTAATGAAAACATCTACAACCCTGTCACTAAGTGAGATACATATCATGTCCATTTAACTGTTTGTGAACTGTTAGCAGCAGAAGGTGCACAAAGAAAAATGATATTTAAGCACAAACGCTTTTTGTCTATTTATAATGCTCATTTTCCTTAAATAAATAACTTTTTTGCTAACCCTTGATCCCCAATAGCACTTTGCAATATTCTCACCATCAGAGTAGCTAAAGAGAGTTTTTTCTTCCCAGGGTGACTTATGTGTTATAAGGGTGACTGATCTTAAAAAATTCACCCCGGGCTAAGAAGAATCCATCCAGGGTGAGCAGAATTCTAGAGTACTAGAATCTTCGGGAATATCAGCTGGTTCTGAATTTTTTTTAGCAATAAGATTTTATGAAAACAGGCTCTCCTTCAAAAGAAATTGTACTGTCACAAATTAAAAAGCTTAAAAAAAAATTAGGAGGCAAGTTAGTGCTCCAGGTGGTATGCAACATGCACTGGCTACATATGCACTGTGGGACTTTCACCGTTATGATACCACCAACCCTCTCCACAGAAAGTAACCCAGATACATGATTATGCTTTTCATCTTCTTCTGCCATTAGGTTAACAAACAGCAAAACATTACTTCATAATCTAAGGGCTCAGTTCATACTTTCAGGAGAATGAGGTGGCAGAAATGCACAGCTTCAGACTGCTGGTGGAAGATCACATTTGGGAAAGCTATCTTATTTTGAAAAGTCCCAGCAAACAATAACTAGAGACTAGAGGAGGGGCTGTGGCTCAGTGTTAGAGTATCTGCTTGGCGTGCAGAAGATCCCAGGTTCAATCCACAGCATCTTGGGTTAGAGGATCTAGCAGCAGGTGATGTGAAAGACCTCTGCCTGAGACCATGGAGAGCTGCTGCCAGTTTGGGTAGACAATACTGACTTTGATGGACCAAGGGCAGCTTCATGTAAGCATAGCAACCAAAGAACAGGGGTAGGACCCTTCTCTCTGTGGTGCTAGTCTTCTGTTTGTAGGAAATTCTGTATGGGAACACTCAAAGCTGGAATCCCTCACCGACACTCTCAAGTGGCAAAGTTCATCCTGCCATCTCAGATGTCTGCCACCTCATTCTCCTGTGTGAATAAGGCCGAATTAGTCCAAGAACACCGATGGCAGAATTTAATTAACCATGCAAAACCAGTACATTAGCAAAGATATACAAAGCCTTAACAGACATGGATGAAAAGAAAACAGAGGCATCACACTGAAAAATGTGTACAGCTGATATTTATGCAGGAAACTAGTAAGTGGATGGGAGGCTGGAGACAGTGAACTTACTCTTCAACTTCTTGCTCTGCATGTTTCTTTCCTGATCTGAAAGACAAGAAAAAGGCCAAAGCTTTACAAAGTGCAGGATTACCTGCAAGGCAGAAGACAAGCTCCAAACAGTTCTCTCAAGATGTCTTTGGAGACAAACATTTCAATACGACACTTTGGGGAAAGCACATAACACAAGCCTCAATGCCAGGGGCTGATTTTAACTCCTAAAGTCCTAAGGAATGAGAGCAGCATGTCAGCAGAAGGTGTGAAACACACACACACACACACACACACACACGTCCCTGTCCTCCCAAGCCCAAGACTGTGGGCAGTTTTCAATGTGGAGTGGGGGAGAGCCATGTGTAGCCATACTATGCCTCTGTGGTAGCATGCAAAATGCACACTTGCCCACTTCATGGCAATGAGGGGTAAATCAGATGTTACTTTTTTTTTTTTTGTATAAACTGTAGCTGCTGAGGCTGTAATTTGAATAGGGAAACTGGTGTGGGAGAAAGGGGCTTTTTAACCCTTTTGCCCAATGTTTCTTTTGAGGGGGAAAGGTGAAAATCACCCTTGCCTACCATTTGCCGTGTATGGGAAAAGACATCGGTACCTCAGTGGTGGTTGAAAAGAAAGGGTGGGGAAAGGGTAAAATTTTTCAGCCAAAAAAAAAAAAAAGTTGAGGAGAAACAGTTTAACATTTCTCTCTCAACATTGAGGGCCATAATTGGGCGGAAAGGTAGAACACAAATGTTTTAAATAAATAAGGTCTCCGACAAAGGAAGCTTTGACTCCTTGAAAGCTTATACCCCCAAAACCTTGTTGGTCTTTAAGGTGCTGCTGGACCCAAATCTAGCTGTTTAAATAAATAAATAAAACATGCCATCCTTCCAGTTAAACCCACAGCTTGAGTAGTGACATTTTTGTGAAAAAGTGCTCTTAAAAATTCATGAGACAGGACAGAATGTAAAATTCCACCTTTAGTTGCAGAAGCTCTACACATATTAGGAACATGTGCACTGTACCATGACAGAAGCACACAACCATACATTTTACAGCATTAAATACTGGGTTCCATGGATGAGCAGACCCCACATCTAGTGATCAGCTCAGCTTTATTAGTGATTCAGCAGATACAAGACTGAAACCTCAGGGCAAGAGCCCTGTTTAAATTGCATGCAAAAACCATACCCAACGCCCAACGATAGGCTATTTACATAACATTAGTTTCTCATTGGTCACCTCCAGAGTCCTGGTGGGCTATTGTTCTAGAGCTCCAAGCTCAGCCAGTCTCTGGTACCCAGTCCCGGAATATTCCAGCCCTAATACATAACATACAGCAAGGGAATCACTCACACTTTTGTTCTTCCTGTTTTCTAGTCGTGCCCAAAAATATGCTGGTTATATACAAAAACATTCTTTTAAATACTGATAGCTGCTGTGAAGCAGATAAGAGTTTTCAAAATCAAATGAACCATTTGTTGGCCTGTTCAATAAAAGGAGGATGACACAGAGGAACAGGGAGAACTGGATAGAACAGAGGTAAGAAATGCTTTCCATCTGGGGACTCTCATATTCTTTACGCACATTCTTATTTTTAAAGTGGTGTCTGAACAGTAGCCAGAGCCGCCAGAAAAGGGTTTGGAATCTTCCACACTCAGAGGGGGGCTGTACTTGTTACTAGTTTGGCTCAGTCACTTGAGATCAGTCCATTCTTCCTGCCATCCTTGGCCATAAATATGAAATTTGCTCTTTAATAGAGCTGCCTTGAGTTAGATGGGGAAAGGCTGAGCCAGATGCCCCATGGATCAGGGAAAACCTGTCTGAGTTATTTGGAGTTCATCATAATAATGTGCTGCTGGAGGAAGGAGGCCGGGTGGGGAGATGGCAGGCAGCTCTCTCCCTCTGTCTCCACCCCAGCAAGCCCAGAACTAATTCAGATCCGATTAAGGATGCTTGTTCAATATTCAAAATGTAAAACATGGAGGTTGCTGAACCAGCACTTTGAAAAGTTAATTAAATGCCAGGTTTCTTTTTAGCAGATACTCCATCACTTGCTGATTGCTTTGACTATTTCACAGGGAAAAGTTTTTAAACTGTGCACTGGAAAATATTCTTTTGGTGATCTTTTGGAGTTGCAGCATCGCATGACATGGAACACCACCTGGGTCTTCCTTTACTACCCCATGCCCTGTTCCAAGGCAGAGCTGTTACCAAGCAACCCTGAGTTGGCACATGCTTCTTTAAGTATGCCTTCCATCCAGAAGTTTCTGTCTCTCCCACAGCTTTGACACAAACATGTTGACAACATAAAGCCTCAGCTGCTACTACTTGTTAATGTGAGATGACCAGGTTACAAAAAGCTTCTTCTTCATGCACCGTATGCAGATCCTTCTGCACTAGCAAGACGGGGCTTTTTAGACGGGCACTGGGCTTGCAGGATAAATGTTTCTAGCACTCAGGCTTTGAAGGACAAATGCTTGGACTTAGAAAAAGTGTTATTGCTAGCTAAGATAATGATTTTTTAAAATTATTTTTATGATGTATTGGCTTTATTATTATTACCTGCCTTAGATTCCACCTTTCTGGTAGAAAGGCAGGTTTATAAAAGTTTTAAATAAATAAATCCTTAACATGTCAATGTATTTGGTATTTTAAGAATTTTAAGACTGGAAAAGGTCTTCTGAAGTCGTCCTTTGACTAGATAGTACCTCAACCATACTTGGCATAATTTGCAAAAGAATTCTGGGAAATGTGCATGAATCCTAATAAAACTGCATGGCTTTACCATTGTGTCTTTGTTGCTTGAAAGGTTTTTCCTGATGTTTAATGTCTTTTATCCTCCATTTCAGTCCCATGATTCACCTTTTTATCCTAACTGAGGATGATCTACAATTTTACTATTTAGACAGACACTTTACACTTAATGGATTCTACCCTTCCATTCATCTCTCCTCACCTCCTGGATTGGAGGAAGGCTGGGATCAATGGAAGGCACCACCACTAGGAGCACGTTAGGATGCAGTCCTATGTTTGCAGAGGTCCTCCAATTCTAACAAAAGGTATTGTTTAGTATAATTTCAAAATTTCAAAAATATAACAGTGAAGTATCAAAGGCAGGTTATATATCTCACCAGTCTCTTTTGCTGTACAAGACATACACCATATCTTCTGCTATTTCACTGCAAAAGTATGTATGTGGCCTTAGCCTCCAGAAAAATTTAGTTAGAGAACATATATTGGGGTTCTCCCCTCTCTTCTATATTCTCATGCACAAACATGGAAGCTCACTATTCTGATCTCAAGAATGCTGGGTTGTTTTTCAAGAAGGAACAATAGAATTCCTTCTTCCTTAATTGGATGAAAATTAAATGAAAAACTACAATTTTAAGGCCCAGAGACCCATTGTATACTTTTAAAAGTACCTTTATCTAACAAATGTTAAACAATGGGGGAGGGGTTCGAAATAAATAAGGCCGTAGGGTAACCTGTCCTGAGGCTGTGTGATATGGAAGAAAAGAAACACCAACAGATCTTATACTACTGGTATAATACTTTTGGTTATGCTATGCAAGAGGTATACTATGGAAATAGAAACAGCATTCTCTAGATACACTCAAATATGCCAGTGGTGCTCTCCCCACCCCTCATCTCCCCCAAAAACTGTATACCAGGTTTGAGGTGAGGCAGCTGTTCTGCTCTGTAAGTGCTCCTGTCTCAGAGGTTAAGTGCTAAAGGGTGAAAGACAGCACTAATGCAGATATCGTCTCTGTTAAAATGTTTCTCTCTCATTTAATGGAATATTGTGGTGATCTAAATGGAGATAAAATGATGAGGCTCCAAGAAAAGCGAGCATGTGATATTCATGCAGGATGACAGTGTTTAGTGGTTAATTAGACACCGTTAACCTGTTTTAAAGGGGACATAAGTGGGATAAATGGGGGCACATGCCCTTGAAATCTTTTAATGTTTGTAGATCATGGATGACCCTGATTATTCTTCCTTGCTGTAAGGCAGTATACAGAGCTGAGCACTGAGAGGTCAACCTCTCGCAGAGTCAGGTAACTAAGAGTTCTAGTGACACTGTAAGCAGAGTTGCCTCTTTCTAAGCTGCTGACTTCAGTAGACTCTGCCTAGGATGGCACTGTTGATGTGTTACTTAAGGGGGAATGGGCACCAGTGAAACAATGGATGGGGGAGTATAGATGGGTGTGTATAGAAGATGCTCTCATGACCGTGAGCAACAGAATGACTGAGAATAAGAAGGAAGAATATGATCACACCAAAGAAGTTTCAAGATGCAAACTCCATTTTCCAGAAATCAGTTTCTTTACCATCTACTTACTAGCCAGAGTTCCAAGTATGGGTAAGATATAAAATACCTATTGGCTATTCAGCACCAGCAGCCCTCTGGGGGAAAAAAAACGTACTTGGCCAGAAAGCCTTTTAATGCCACCCTGTAACTTTATTTACTTGGCACCATCACATTACCCTTGACTAGACATGCTTAACAAACAAAGCTTGTGTCAAGGTCAAGAAGCATGTTCACGTCTAACAGCCAAGAAAAAGCAAAAGGCCTCTGAAGCTGCAACTCAAGTGACCAACCTAGGAGAAGCTACGAGGGTCTGGTAAAAGCAAACACTATATAACCAAGATGATGTGTAGTTGAGTTTTGGCAGAAGTCCTCCTCCACCCTTTTCTCCTAACTAGTCAGTGTTCCTTAAGCAGAGGGGCCATACCATTTCCCAACTCTGTGACCCAATACACTTCACTTACCCTCTATAGCACAATTTCTCTTTAATATTACAACAGGAGTTGAATGAGTATTGACAGGGAAGGACTGCCTGTGGAACACAAATAGTCAAAGCTAGAACTGTATTGGAACTTGTACACATTTGTGTGTAAAGTGTGCTCCCTTCTGGCTAGACATGCAACAGCATTCCCATTTCAGTTCCCTCTACTATTATACCATTAGAGAGAGAGATTGAAAGAAAGAGAGAGAGGGAGAGAGAGAGAGAGAGAGAGAGAGAGAGAGAGATATTTTTTTAAAGGCA